TTTAAAAGTTAACAAAATACACCCAGCCACCCAAGACGATCGTTAGCTGTCGGTGTCAATCGCCGTAATGGTGCATGACCGGTGGGATCTGTGATCCATGGCTCGAAACGACTAGATCTGGCTGTTTCACGGCCACATCTTTGGCCATGAAATGGCCATAGATTTGGCCGTGAAACGACCATGGATTTGTGATCCATGGTCGGAAATAGCTTTGTCGATGCACAACTGACCATATACGACTAGTCGTGTGCCATTCCATTGACGGTGGTGGTTGGCTGCTGACAGTGGCTTGGGGTGGGTGGAGGTGATTTTGCCACAAATTAAAGGTTTATATGGTTTGAGTGTTTTAGAAAAATTTCAAATGTAGAAGGTTAAAAAAATGATTCAAAAAATAATAATAAATAATAATATATTAATATTTTAAAAGGAGGGTAATTTAGTAATCTATATAATATACCCACCCATTTATCCTCCCAACCAAATATACTATTCACCAATTTATTCGAATCAACCAAACACATTTTCTAAACATTTATAATAATCTTCAAGGTGATCTATCTTTCCGTTAATAAAACATTCCATATAATAAAACATTATATGATCTAAACGCCCTCTATAGAGCCATTATCACAGTCAACTAGCTACTATCAGAAATTATTCCTAGCCACGTTTCTAATAGATTTTGTTCTTTTTAATTGATGACAAAGTATTTTAATATTTTTATCTTTCTTATAAGGATATTATTGACCTTTTAATTTTTCTGAAAACCCTATATTTCTTTTTTTTCCTATTTCTTTCCACTTTTTTTCTTTTACCCTCTTTTTGTTCTTAAATTAAGAGTGAGTTTGGGGTTGCTATAGCTTCTCTCATAATTATTTATTTCATAATTTAAAACCCAAAAAGTGTTTGATAAATTAATTTGAAAAGTGATCATAGGACAAGCTAATTATGAAATAATATGTTTTATTAAAGGATTTGAAAAGTAGCAATTTGTAACCTTAAAAATTCAAAAGCTGCTCTTGAAAGGGGAATTACCAAAAACACGCTAAGATTAACTTAAATTATAATTTTTTTAGAAAAAATATTTAAATAAAATATTAGAAACAAAAAAGTTGAAAATTGACTAGCGTGGCCGGCTGTGGTTGCCAGAAAACTCTCTAACAACAAGTTAGCCGACATTGCTTACACATTGAACTCATCGACAAGCGATCTATGTAGTTGTGCTGATAGTGTTGTAAAAATGGTGACCTTTAGTCATAATGGTCCAACAAAATTTGACCTAAACTTTGCTAGCCTATTACAGATCAACGACGTTGTATTTGACGACACCACCGACATGGTTGCACGCATTGGCAAACTGATAAGACTTTTCACAAGTGTACAAAATAATTCAAGTAATATAGTATGTAAATATGGATATCAAACCCTAGAGAATTACTACTTACCAATTACCAAAATTAATTATTTTTATTATTATTTGAGTAATCAAGAATTGATAGAATGAGAAAACTAAAAATAACAATTCTTAAACAAACAAAATAGTAAAGAAAATAAATCAAAAATTAGAATGGAAGCTACTTGTAAAACAATATGGCAAAACTTATGACATAGACTTTACACTAATTTACTCTTATGTCTTGACAAATCATGCTATCATTGTTAAGCTTTTTCTAAAAACCAAATTCTTGAAATTTCAATATTTTCTTTCAAACAATTATTGAATTAACCATCAATTACCAACTCAATATATCTCTAAATTGAATTTAAGTTTTAAGGGATCATTAAACCTTTTGGAATTTAATACAATCTCACAAGTTATGTCTAGTATCTCTAATATTCATTCAACCTATGGTTCTTATTATTTAGACTAATTAGATTCAATTTCTCAATCTCAACCTAGTTCATTTGATCAATCAACTCTCGTTATCAAAAGAACTGAAAGCAATAAGAACAATAATAAAACTTAGAAAAAAATTGCTTAACAAAATTTAACATTAATCCATCAAAACACAATCATAAATTGAGATACATCTTAGCCCTAGAAAATTAACTTAGTTCATAATTAAATGTAAAGAAACAACAATTGAGAAATTGAAAGACAGGAGTTCTACAGAGGAATAAAAGAAAGCTTCCCCAATTGGCAATCCAAAACTCTAAGAGTATGTGCTTTAACCTTAAGGATCGCAACTAATCTCCTCTCTTTTCTCTTTATCTATCTCCCCTTTTTAAAATAGCTAAATACATCTATTTATAATTGTAGAACCCTAATATGCCACATACTCCTACAGGGGTGAATATGAGATAAAAAATTTAATGCGAAATAATAAAACCTTCAACTACCCAACAACAAGAACAATAAATAACTTCAATGATAAGTAATAAGTAAGCAAGTTAATGACAAATAATAATAAATGAGGTAAAGAAGAGAAATGCTTAGAGAATTTATAATCGTTCAGAGCTTTGATCACGAGTCCCCTACATCCACCTTTTCAAGACAACCTCCTTGAAGTTCCACTAGAATCGGATTTCACCAATACAATAGTTTTCACAAGATTTCGCATTGACAATAGTTTGACAGGATTTTGCCTCTAGATTTACATAATCTCACCCAAAGATATTAGATAAAAGGTTTTGTGAATGGTTGCCTTTAAGCTAGACTAATACACAATGGTTTCAAAGTTATTCTCTAAAGATGTTAGTTTAGTACAAATAAGATAGTGATTTTGAGCTTTAGGGTTTGCAAGATTGAATGTTGGATAATGCAATGTTCTCTCTCTCTCTCTCTCTCTCTCTCTCTCTCTCTCTCTCTCTCTAGTTCTTGCAATAAATCGCCCTTTTAAAGTCTTCACCAGCCCTTGATAAATTAGAGTCGTTGCTGCATTTAATGCACTTCTGAAAAGCTGTAGAACCCAGAGGAAGAAGCGCTCCAACATCGGGAATAGGCGTTCTTGACACCAACGGTCACTTTATTTTGAATTATAGGGTTTGGAATGGTCGTTCCCTTATGTCGAATGGTCGTTACCCTATCGCGAATTGGCGTTACCCTATCACGGATAGGCATTCCGCTTTGGATCTCTTAATGTCCAAAATCTAGAACCTTGAATGACTTCTTGGAACGGCTTGAAGAAAACTTGGAACGGGCGTTCATCGAGGTCGTTCTTGATTTACTTGAAGTTCTCTCAACCTTGACTTGACCTCAAATATTCTAAGTCCAAAATCTTGACTTCAGTTTGTAATAGACATTCCTCTTCATGGTATGGGCGTTCTTCTTCAGGTCACACAAGTGTCAAGATTCTGGAGCTATGAACGACTTGATGGAACAATCTTGTTCATGTGGACGTACTTAATGAATGGTCGTTCTTCTTGGTCGTGCCTTCTTACAACACAAATGATGTTTAGCTCGCAGATGTGTGTTAGCCTTTTACGAATAAGTCTTGATATGTTTGGAACGACTAGCTGGGATAGTCATGTGGATTGGTAGTTCCAATTTTGACTTGAGTTTGCTTGAAAGGATTTTTGTTTCATTTTGGACATAACTGTGAACAAGCATGAGGAACGGTGTCGTTTCAAAATGGAATGACTTGACTGGAGGTTATTTTCCAAAAAAACTGGATGGGACAAGCGTCCCATCTACGTGGACAATCGTTCTACCTGGAAACTTCGCATTTTGTTTTGGTTATGACTTATGTCATACCGTTGCACATTGTTAATATATTAATCACTATTTTTCATTAGTTTTGGCACATTAAAACACATGAGGACTCAACAATAGTGCTACGGTTTTAGGAGTGTAGTTGGAACAATCCTATTCAAGTTAGGATAGGAAAATTTCGGATAAGACTTAGCAAAAATTGCATAGAATTAGGATTCTAGGACACGGGCAGCGACATTGATCATTACATGCTATGCATGCTCAAGATCTCATTATTTACCCATTAAACCCAAAACTCCAATGCTGCGGTGGAAGATTTTGAATGCCATAATGCTTAAAGTTATCCAAAATTGAGCACGATAACTTCTGAATGTGGCAAAGTTGTGAACATAGGAATTGTAGCCATTTGAGTAAGCTTTCCAATGGTTCAAGAATCATCCAAATACAAGGTCTATAGCTCGAGTTATCATCAAGATACTGAAGTATGTTCTAGGCTTAACCATGTTCCAAGATTTGCAATTCATACTCAAAATGCCATAACTTCCTCGTTTCAACTCCAATTCTCAATTGTTTGTTCCCAGTCATCACAAATTTTGTCGCCAACATCTCCTCATCTGAATATTATTTTTAAGCATTTATGACCTCAAAACACACCAAACATACCTATGATTTCGAAAAACACTCTTATGAAATAATTAGTTAATAACACAAAGTAAACCTAATTTCTCACAAATGATACCAATAAACCACTAAGTATAACTAAATTTTCAAGCACTTATCACAGTGATCTATGCAACCATGCCAATGGTGTCGACTTACTCGCGGTCAAAGAATTTGTCGACAGCGATAGCTAACCACTAGCGATAACTGCTAGTTAGCGAATCCGCCAACTAGTTTTCAATTTTTGAAAATTTTAAACACTTGCCATGTCATCGCTTGCCAAACTCATTTAATAATAATTATTATATTAATTAAATATTTTATTTAACCCAAATTCAACCAAAAAAAAAAAAAAAAAAAAACAGATCCAACACAAACTCGAATAGCTAGCAAAATAAATCAAACTAAACAAAACAAAAATCCAATTTTTGCGTTTCAAAAGAGGAGATTACAACACAAATCAAACCCATCACAAAAGTCAAATCACTCGCACATTCATATCAAACAAAACAAAATTGGATTCAAATCAAACCCTACTAACAAACACAAACCAAATAATATTAAATCCACAAAAATGGCAACAAAACTGGAAATGACAGCCACAAAATCGAAAAGGCATGTGGGCATGATGAATGAAACTCATCCACTAGCCGACGAATTGTACTTGCGTTGGGCCTTTGGCCGATGAATGACGCTTTTTGGTCGACAGATCGAGTCGACTGTGGCTCTTGTGCTACACTTTTGGCCAGTGCAAGAGTCTCAAATGCCAGCAATATCTGGCAAGCAACAAGGCTCTCATGGTGATACTTATAGCCATGGGTGACGACGGTGACAACCGGGAGAGTTCGGATGGAGAAGAAGGAGAAGGATAAGAGAAAGAAAGGAAGGAGAAAAGATAACTTTTTTGTAATGAACGCAATTGATTAATGAGATTTTTTTGAAAGTTAATTAATATATTTTAATTAATACAATTAATTAATTATAAATGATGATGTGGTATTGCCACTTCACCTGCCGCGTCACATTGTATGGCCTATTTTGAATTTTTTTGTAGTCTATCATTTGTCATGGCCTTAAGCTAACACACTTTAATTCCGCTGTTACCTATCCAACAGCCCCTATTTTTTTTATTCATCGTCCATCACACACCCCCTTTTTCTAAAGGGCAGCATCACAGCAAGTGAAGTTGATCACAAAGTGGCTCAAAACTCTTCTTCGTATAAATATTAATATTAATATTCAAAAATCCTACCGAATTCTGTCTTCTCAAACCAACCAACCTAAAATCATGGCGGTAAGTTAGACTTTAATCACTTCCCGATCTCATTGTCTATATCTAACTACTCAATTTACTTAATAGAAATTAATTTCATTTTTATTTGCAGGACCTTCGGGAACCACTTTAATGGATCTGATAACGGCCGACCCGTCCACAGCGTCGGCAACGGTGACGGCGTCGTCGGGATCGACGGCGCCGTCTACGGCTGCTCCGCTATCAGTGTCGAGCGGTGGCGGAGGGATTCCGACGAAGACGACATTGGAGAGAGGAAGTCAAAGAGAGCGGCGTTGATGCAGATCCAGAGCGACACCGTTTCGCGGCCAGGCCGTTTTGCATCCGGTTCTGCCAACATCAATATCATGCCGCGAGAAGCAAAAGCAGAAGAAAAAGGTTCCGTAATTCTCTTTTTTTTTTTTATCTATTTATGCTGAAGGAAGTGTATATGTGAGAATTTAATTGAAGCAACATTTACAGCCGGTTTCGTATGCGCAACTTGCCAGGAGTATTCATGAACTAGCTGCTACTTCGATCAGGTGAACGTTGCCTTTTTTTTTTTCAAATTAATTTTCAAATTTATTTTATTTATTTTCCTTGCAGTTTGTTTAAAATCTTAATCTTCTGTTTTGTATGATTTGTGATAGAAAAGTTCACAGAAACAATTAGTTCTCCATGTCTTTCCGAAGCTCGCTGTGTATAATTCTGTTGACCCTTCATTAGCGCCTCGCTTCCATGGTATGTATAGTTCTCTAATTATTGTATACATCATTGTTCTTCTGATTGAGTAGAAGCTTACTTTGTTTTTGTATAGTGAGTTAACATTAACAATTTCATATTTGTTTCGTGGGAACGCTCTTGTAATAAAGGAACACAATAGATTCATTTTTATAGAACACGTTTATGGTTGTTGATGCTTGATATCTGTTCGTTTTAATGAATTCAACAGCTTGATCAACAATGTGAAGATAGAGTTACTACGCTATGTCATTATTACTTGGCCAGAATTTTATCCGATACTGGGGCGCAAGGCTTAAGTCCATGGTGGTGATCCCCACTCCAAACTGGGACGCCCTTGCTGACATAGATGCTGGTGAGGGGTGACCAGAGCCGATGTGGTTCCGAGAATTGTTACCCAGCTTACAACAGAAGCTTCAAATCCTGATGTTGAATGTAAAGTGGTTTCTAGCTTTACTTATGCAAATTTTTATTAATTTGATTGATTGAGTAGTTTGAATATTACTGCTTTCACAGTAATATATTGATGTTCAATGTACTTAAGTGCTTTTGCAATTTACTGTTTCAACTATCTTAACCCTTGAGTTGATCAGACCCTGAAGACCTATGTTTAGTGTCATAGTTACATTATGTATGTGACATTTCTTTCTAATGTGGAATCTGTCTGTTGTTGTCTGTTCTAAGGTTAATTTTTCTTAAAAATATTCTACCAAGAATTGTTGGGAGAGTTCATTAAATTGTTCTTGATACGTTTATATTTTGAAGTGACAAAAGTTTGGTTGTCTCTCCCTCATGCTTCCACTTTTTTTTTTTTTTTTAAAACTTCTTTTGTGTTTGTCAGCAGACATTTTTAGTTCTTTTTTATCTTTTAGTAGGAATCAAGAGATTTTATCAGAGGGTTGAAATTGCGTAATGGTGTACGAACCACTAATATGCAAAAGTCAAAAGATAATTTACTACAATTAACTCCAAATTTAGCCACAACCCCTGCCAATATTTAAACATAAGAAGAAAGAGATATCATCAATATTTAGAAATCCTATGGGATAGAATTCCTTTTTTTTTTTTTTTTGGGTAATTTGGAAGAGAGAAAGAGCTGAATTTTTGAAGGAAAAATTAGTGAAGAGGTTGTGCCTATGGGACATAATTCATTTATTTGCCTCCTTGGCCTTGTATGACCAAGGAGTTAAAGACAGTTCCTTTTCCTATTTAATTTGAATTTGAATGAGTTTTGTGATAGTTTTTTGCTGAGTTGTATCTTTTCCCTTTCATTTTGGGTGGTATATTGGTTTGGGTAATTTTGTATAGTTGGTGAATATGGTTGACTGGGTTCACAGTTTCTACTAGTCTTTGATCTCTGATAACTTAAGTACTGATTCACTTGGAAATTATATGGTGAGACTTAGTAAAGTTGTCATCACTCACTTCTATTCTGTTTTGGCTAGATTCTTTTTGATAATTTCTTTAGAATTTTGTATTAAATTGTCTACCTTTCTCTTGTGTATATTTGTGATGAGGCAACAAAGTGCATAAGTAAGTATGATGTTACAGTTCTATACGTATATGATCTTGTTTTTTTTATTTCTTACTTGATTTCTAAGACCGAAAAAGTATTTTTGGATGTAGTTGGTGATCTTCGACTTAATACTTTTCTATTTTCTTTGATTTCATGCACGGGACTGCAACTTTGAAGCTCTTACTTATGCTCCTTCTAGCAACACTGAAATTCTGTCCAAATTGTATGAAATTGTCTTCAGCATTCTCGATAAGGTTTGTCCTTATTGAAGCTTTTCATTCATATTTGAGAGAACTTTGTGTTATTTCATATGTTCTTGCTTACTGTAATTGATTTTGGACTGTATAGAGAAATTTTCTCTTTCCTTTTTTTAATTTTATTTTTTTTTTTTTTTTTTTTTTTACTTTCGTAGCAATAAGACAATTTTTTTTGTTTGTCCTATGATGAATTTGCGAATTGGGTGATTGAAAAAGTCAGTGTTGTATATCATCACAGGAAAAACATTACACCTTCTTGCTATTTAAATGTCCTGGGATTTTTATGTTTTGGTAATTATTAGGTTTTAGGTAGTGGAGGTTTGGGAATAAAATTTAGGGTTTCATATAGGCATTTTGGCAGGTGCATGATTCATTAGTTCCACTTTTTTTTTCTAATATTTAAGTTCATTCTATACACGAATCATCTGGAGGTAATTTTTCTTTCCCACTTTGGTTATCATTTTTTAGTGAGTAGATATTTCTCAAAGAAGTCTTCAGTTTGTGCTTTTTGTTATATATGGCAGGAAACACATTTAGAAAAAAAATTGTTTGCTTTGATAGTTTTTTGTTGAAATATTTATGAGGGTTGTTGGGAAAATTACTTGAAATTGACAATGTTTTGCCCTCATTATTATTGTTTTTTTTTTTTTGGATAACATGTTATACCTACTGTTTAGTTTCTTAACCTTGGTGCTTTCTTGTGTTTCCTTGGAATTCACTTGCCAAAATAATGATTTGGATATTTATATTGATATTCAGGTTGCTGATGTCCCCCAAAAACGTAAGAAGGGCATGTTTGGGACTAAAGGTGGTGATAAAGAGGTAGTAATAGAACTGATGATGATGATGATGATTTGTAATCTGAACATTTTACTGTTCTGTCTAAAATGTCATCAGTGTCATTGCCTAAAATGTCATCACTGTTGTCTATGTTTTACTTAATACTTATATATATATATATCCTTGTATAACATATCTCGTGCAAAGAAAATCTAAATAAAATGAACAAATGTAAAATTTTATTGTGATGCCTGTACAATTTCAGTTTATGTTTTTCTATTTAAATTTGTCAAGATGATTTTTACATGGGCAATTATTTTCTGTAGTTCATTCACTTTCAAAGTTATGAGATATCTATTCCTTTCTTGCAATGCTCGTTACTCTTGCTAGTAAATTGTATGGTTGTTCATATTTTCTCTTTCCCAATGAACTATGTTGGAACTTATTATCAATCTCCTATGCATATTAAGTGGTAGAGTTAACTGTAAGTGAGTAGTCAAAATGTCTGAAACAGAATAGTAGCCCTATAAAAATATTATTGCCCCTTTATTATAGAGTGATATTGTTGACTTATGGGGGCCCATGTCATCCTGCTACTTGACGTGCTCCCTGAAAAATCAGTTAAGCACATGTAGGATTATCTACGTCTACCTATTGGTGCTATATGGGTACTTACAATTCATATTCGCATGTTATTTAGTGTGGGGCTATGTGTTACCTTTTAAGGATTAAATTGTGCATCTTCCTAGTAGCTTAAGCTTTTGTGAATGTTGCTTATTTTGATTAGATGGGCTGCATGATTGCATTTATCTGTCCTTAAATCAGATTTTTTTTGTTTGTTTGATTAAAGTGTGCCTTATTTCAGATTTTACCAGTAAATTAGAATGCGAGATAATTCACAGAACATATGCTATTAAATTATTATCCTAATCGTTCTCCTTAAATATTGGTTATTGCATTCCTACTTAATTCTGGCATTGATATGTTTTTTTAGTCAATTATCCGGAGTAACTTGCAATATGCTGCCCTAAGTGCTTTGAGGAGACTTCCTTTGGATCCCGGAAATCCAGCATTTCTGCATCGTGCTGTGCAGGGGTTAGTTTTTCTACTTAGTGGTCTTATTTTTGTTAACATTTACTTGTGTTGGCACATTAACTTTATTAGTTTCTTTATGCTGCATGCATTTAGGTAGCATTTCAGTACTCAAACATTGGACTTGACATCTAGTTTATGCCTGCCAAGTTTTGTTATCTGTTTCCTTGCTGAGTATGTTGATTATGAAATGTCTTATTTTTTTTTCTTTAAGAAACAGAAATTTACTTATACTATTGCTATGAAGAAACAAATTTTTTTTGAAAGTAAAGTATAATGTAATGAAGGTAGGATTACTAATCCATCCTATACTCACAAAACTATTTTGAAAAAAACAGTGCAACATATCTAGGAAAGTGGACTGCTAATCCATTCAAGAGAAGGGGAAATTTTAGTTTCACAAAAGTTCTTTTAGTTAGAATCTTTTGAGCCTATAGTCTCACCAAACCACAACTTGCTGTAACCATGTCTTAAGATAACTCTTTTTATCCTGTATCTTCAAACTTTGAAGATTAAAAGTTTGTTGTTCAATATTTTATCAATTTATACATCAATGGTATCAATTTTAGTTTATTTTAATATTTTACTCTATTTCAATAGTTTGTTTATTATTCATTCTGTTTCTTTCAATTATTTGTTTCTATAGTTTTTCTTTTCTTTTTTTTTTTTATTGTCTAAGATCCCATGTCATGGAAAATATAACAAAAGTAGAGGATGATTAAATTTTTTTTTTTTTTTGCCTATTTACATTTATTGTCAGATCTTATTCTCCTCTAGACAGATGTTAATTCTGACAAATGTCCGCTTTTGTAGTGTTGAATTTTGGTTGTAACTGTTTTTTTTGTTTGTTTTGTCTTTACTTTTTCTTCAGCGATTTCCTTGTATTAATTCAAGTTTGAATATTGTTTATGTATTTGTGTCTCTCTTTTTGATTCTAATGTTTGGTCCCATGTTAATGTTTTTCCTTATATTCTTTTAGATCCTTTTGTTTGCTGGTGTCACTTTATAATGTGTCTTAATCATGGTATTACTGTAGGGTTTCATTCGCTGATCCTGTTGCTGTGAGACATTCTCTGGAAATCCTCTCTGATTTGGCGACAAGGGATCCTTATTCTGTTGCAATGGCATTAGGTGACTTTATCATCTATTAAACACTACATATTCTTGTGGTTATACAGCCTCAAAAATATCCTTTTTCTCATGTTGAATCTAATATTTTAGTTGTTTCTATGTGTCTAATATTTACTCATAATCTTGATGCAGGAAAGCTTGCTCTCCCTGGAGGTATTAATCCCAATCTCTGTTGCTTGCATTTTTTTTTGTAGCTATAGCAAGGAGGAAAAATAAAAGAAAAAATAATTTTTTTTTATCTTCACATTTTTCTAAATAACAAATATGTATATTTATTGACTGAAATCATATTTACATAAAGGTGAAAATGAAGGGCACTTCTTGAAGTTTTTAGACCCCATGGTTAAAGAACAGTATCTAATCTTGTCTCACAATGTTGAGATCTCCTCTTCATTGTCTAAAAAAATTCTTCTACTCTAGGCATAAAACCCAATTATGATAAAATTGCACAATCTTTTAACTCAAGCTCAAAATCACTCATTGCGAACTAAATAACAAGAGAGTGTATCAACTCAATGGAAGTGTTAACCTCTATATTTCACCAATATCAACAGTACAACCTAACTCAAATATATACACACGCTCAATAATTACAAATATACCCTTTACACTATATATATACATAGTTTCCAACACTCCCCCTCAAGCTGGAGCATATATATCTATCATGCCCAGCTTGTTACAAATATAGGTTACCCTTTTACCAACTAGAGACTTCGTGAAGATGTCAACTGGTTCCCCTGTTCTAACATGATTAGTAGCAATTAACTTTTATTCAAGTTTCTCTCGTACAAAGTGACAATCCACTTCTATATGCTTAGTCCTCTCGTGAAAGACTGGATTGCTTGCTATATGTATGGCTGCGTGGTTGTCACACCACAAGTCCATAGTTCCTGGGTCACCAAACCCAATTTCTCTAAGAAGATGTCTTGTCCATATGAGCTCACACGTAACTTGTGCCATAGCCCGATACTCAGACTCTGCGTTTGACCTAGCTACAACTGGTTGCTTCTTACTTTTCCAAGAAATAAGATTTCCTCCAACAAAAACACAAAACCCAGTCACAGACCGTCTATCCACAGAGGATCCTGCCCAATCAGCATCTGAAAAACCTTCTACCTTATTATGACTATGATCATTGTAAAGAATCCCACGTCCAAGGGCTCCTTTTAGATACTTCAAAATATAGAGGACCGCATTCCAATGAGATGTCCTAGGAGATGATATAAATTGACTCACCACACTCACTGAAAAAGCAATATCTGGACGAGTTACTGTGAGGTAGTTTAACTTTCCAACTATTCGTCTGTACCTCTCTGGATCACCAAACATCTCTCCATCCTCAGCATTCAATCTCACATTAGGAACCATAGGAGTGTTACAAGGCTTAGCCTCACTTAGACCCATTTCAGTCAACACATCTAACACATACTTGCGTTGAGAGAGAAAAATCCCTTTCTTACTCCGAGAAACCTCAACTGCCAGAAAATACCTTAAAGTACCCAAGTCTCTTGTTTGAAATTTGGAAGCCAAAAAGTTTTTCAAACTCTGAATGCTAACATCATCACTGCCAGTGATTACAATGTCATCAACATAAACAACCAAAAGAATGATGCCAGAACTAGATTGCTTATAAAAGACAAGAGTTATCATAAGCACTCTTATGTAAACCAGACTAAGTCACCACTTTGCTAAACTTCCCAAACCACACCCGTGGAGATTGCTTTAAGCCATATAAAGATTTCCTCAGTTTGCATACCTTTCCTGACTCCCCCTGAGCAACAAACCCCGGAGGTTGCTCCATGTAAACCTCTTCAAGAAGATCACCATGTAAAAAGGCATTTTTTACATCAAGTTGGTGAAGAGGCCAACAATATGAAGCTACAAGAGAGATGAATAGTCGACAGAGGTCATTTTAGCTACTGGGGAGAATGTCTCAGAATAATCAATACTATACGTCTAGGCATAACCTTTAGCAACCAACCGAGCAACAGTCCCATCGGGATTAGCCTTCACTGTGAAAACCCATTTGCACCCAATAGCCTTTTTATTTTCAGGCAACCCCATTAGAACCCATGTATTATTATGTTCTAAAGCCAACATCTCTTCTTCCATAGCCCTTCACCACCCATCATGAGCAATTGCTTCAGACACAGAGTTGGGAACAGACACGGAGTCTAAAGAGGCAATAAAAGACTTGGAAGATAAAGACAAAGAGTGATAGGAAACAAATGAGGAGATAGGATAGGTACAAGAGCGCTTACCTTTACGAAGAGCAATGGGAAGATCATGATCATGGTCAGAGGAAGGAGGAACCGGATCAGAGGGTGAGGCAGTCGATAGAGGCAGTGGATAAGATGTTGCTGCAAGTGTCTCATGGTGCTGGTGAACCCTGCGAGAGTATACCTGGGTGATATAGGAGGACGAGATGGTAGAGAACTATGATGGGTAATGTGGTAAACAAGAAGATCATCAGGGGGTGCTTCAAGAGAAGTAGATGAAGTGGAGGATTCAATATATGGAGTGGTTTCAAAAAAGGAAACATCAGTTGAGATAAGGTACTTACCTTGGACAGGAGAAAAACAACGATAACCCTTCTAATTCGGGAATAACCCACGAATATGCACATGAGGGACCTAGGTTCAAATTTGGATGCATGAGGTCTAACATCTTGAACAAAGCACGTGCACCCAAACACTATAAGAGGAAGAGAGAATAAAGGCTGTGATGGAAAAAGGATGGAGAACGAGATTTGACCACCCAAAACAAAAGAAGGCTATTGGAAACCTCCTGCAATCCAAAGTTTCACAACCAACAACACATACACAGAACAAACAGTATGCACAAAAAAGGCAAAACAGATTATATTGATAGATTCTGATTAAACATGAAACAGAACAAATGAAATGACTGATAGTTTCCAGCAATTCGAGGAGTTGGGGACCTCCCAAACAATTCCAGAAAGATTTTACTTGATATCCTATTCTCCCCCAAACTCTCATTTTTATAAGCTAATTATTCCATTCTGTAACCCTTGTGACAGCCTGGTGTACAACAGCCAGGTGTACAACCTCTTAACAAACTCATCAATCCTAACAACCCTTATTGCACACCTCACCATTTTGTAACAAACACACACTCAACGTGTCCCTTTATCCTTATTCCTTTCCCTACCTTTGGATTTATAGACCTTATGTATGGGAGGTCTAACAATACTCGCCCCTCGAAGTGCCACCTTGTCCTCAAGGTGAAATTGGGGAAATTGGCTATCGATGACCTCAAAGGACTCCCAGGTAGCATCGAAAGTAGGCAGATCGTGCCAGCGAATGAGGACCTCAGTGGAGCCATCAATAAGAGACCTCACATCCATTACCTCAGCAGGCTGAACCTGCAGTTCCAAGTCATCAGTGAAACAGGAAGGCAGAGGCTGTACTGAAACAGAGCTATGCAAGCTGTGCTTCAACTGGGATACGTGAAAAACAGGGTGAATACGGGCTGTTGGGGGCAATTCTAACTTGTATGCTACTTGGCCGATTTTCTCCAAGACCCGGAAAGGTCCATAAAATCGAGGACTCAGTTTCTCATTCAACCGTGTGGCCAAGGATTTAAATTTGTAAGGTTGTAGGCGAAGATACACATACTCTCCTGGTGAAAATTGAACTTCCCGTCGATGACGATTTGCTTGTGTTTTCATGTGAACTTGTGCGGCTTCCAGGTTGTGTTTGAGGTCCTGAAGGATGGCATTTCGTTCATGGATCTGTTGGTTGACTTCGTCGACCTGAGAAGGGTAGTCTGTGAACTTTAGGAGGATCGGGGGATCACGGCCGTACAAGGCTTTGAAAGGTGTCATCTTGGTGGATCGATGATATGTTGTGTTGTACCAAAATTCAGCCCATGGTAGCCAAGTTGGCCATTGACTGGGTTGTGAGCTTCAAAATCAACGAAGGTAGGCCTCCAAGCACCTATTTACCACTTCGGATTGGCCATCCGTTTGTGGGTGGTAAGCGGAACTAAATTTCAAGGCTGTTCCAGAAACTCTGAAAATCTCTTGCCAAAAATGACTCATGAAAAGTCTGTCTCTGTCAGCAATGATGGATTGAGGGAACCCGTGCAGCTTCACAATCTCTTTTATGAATATTAAGGCTACCTCTTTGGCGGTATAAGGATGCAACAAGAGCAGAAAATGGCCATATTTAGTTAATCGGTCTACCACAACCAGAATGGTGTCGAACCCCTTGGTCCGGGGAAGACCTCCAATGAAGTCCATTGTCAAGTGGTCGAAAGTCTGAGTTGGTATTGGAAGTGGCTGAAGTAATCCAGCCAGTTTCAAAGCTGAATGCTTATTAACTTGACATATGGTACAGGTTTGAACGAAATTCTGGATATCCTTCTTCATGCCTACCCAATAAGCGACGTTGGCTACCCTTTTATACGTCCTGAAGAAACTTGAGTGACCACCAGTTGGGCTGGAGTGGAATTTGGCTAATAGTTTCTGAATGAAGCAAGAACCCTTCGGTAGAACCAACCTATCCTTGTACAACAAGCAGCCATGGCGAAGTTTGTAGTGTGGTCGGCTGTTGGGTGCCAAAACTAGATCTTGAATCAGCTGTCGAAGCTTGGGGTCCTGATGGGCTTCAGTTGCTAAATCCTCATACTCCGTAAACTGTCTCACTGTCAAGGAAGATAATTCTGGTTCCTCTTCGCGTCGCGATAAAGCATCAGCTGCCGTATTAGTGGTTCCCGGCCAATAATGGATATCAAACGTAAACCCCATCAATTTTGGACACCCATTTCTGCTGTTCAGGGGTTTTAATCCGCTGATCCTCAAGGAATTGGAGGCTTCGCTGGTCTGTTCGAATGATGAATTTCCTACCCAATAAGTACGGACTCCATTTGTGTACTGCGAACACGACAGCCATTAACTCTCTCTCATAAACTGATTTTTGTTTAGCTTGAGGGGAGAAGGCTTTACTTAGATACGCAATGGGTCGTCTTTTCTGAACTAATACAGCCCCCATACCCTGTCCCGATGCGTCAGTGTGAATCTCGAATGGAGAGTTGAAATCCGGAGCTGCCAAAACAGGAACTGAAGTCATGGATTCTTTTAAGGCAAGAAAGGCCTGTTGTGCCTCTTGATCCCAACTAAAAGAATT